GTGTAGTATTTTGAAGGATACAACCTCCCAATTTGTCTCCTTCTGGGCCTTCCCCCTCGTAACAGGTTTTCATTAAATTTTAGCTTCCAGCGGGGGGGAGGAATGGGGAGGAGGCACAGAGAAGAGGTCATCTCAAAACAGCTACAACAACCTGCTCTTGGAAATAGCAATTGCATAACGGCTTTGTGGCACCGCCAACAATGGTGGGGGGGGTGGGGGAGGCAAGTATAACCAACTTTTCCAGCGACCAAGTTGCGACCCCTGCCGTTGTGTTTCTCGTGACATATGCTATGCTCTGTTTCCATAACGGACGAAACGCCTTAGGGTTGAGGGAGGCAAACTTCTGAGAAAGTCTTCAAAGGAATCGGGGTCAAGTCATTTTGGCGCTGATGCAGGCCATTTTCGCGGAACCGGTATCATGTTCATGTCAAGCACTACCTCCTGTCACCAGTTTGAAGCCAAATCATTCTAGAAATCCGGACAACATTACGCAAGTGAGGCAACAGAAAGGGCAAATGGGGCCTCTGTGGGAAGCTCATTATGAGTTCATTACCCAACCCAACCCAAGCCTTTGTAGACGATGAGATTGACACCGCTTATAACCGGTGTTGCCGGGGTTACAGCCATCACCACCACCTTCTGCATCATCTTTGTCGCCTACCTGATCAACGACATCAACAACTTCTATGACGAAGCTATCGAACAGTTTGCTGATTTCAAGGTAATCCATAAGTTTTCTTATGGCTTTTCCCCTTCAATCTCCAGCCAGATCCTTTCAGGACCTTGCGAACTCGGCATGGCACGAAATGAGACCGTCACCAACCGAAGCTCTCCGTCAAGTACGCTTCCATCGCTCCGTAGACGTCGTCAATTCCCAGATTTCTGCGATTGTGCACCGCAAGCCGTGGGTTGCCCTGATGGACCACCAGGACCCCCGGGTCCAGTAGGACTGCCTGGAGAAGCAGGATCGCCAGGAAAGCCGGGTATAAGAGGAAATGACGGCGTTGGAATTTCAGGTGCAGCTGAACCTGAAGGATGTATCAAGTGCCCTGTGGGTCCACCAGGAGAAGCGGGTCCAGATGGGCCACCAGGACCACCAGGACCCGACGGACCACCCGGTAGCAACGGAGGTGTGGCAGAAACTGGAACGCCTGGACCACCTGGACCACAAGGAGAAGCTGGACCGCCTGGACCACCAGGAAAACCTGGTGTAAAGGGAATGCCTGGAGCTGACGCGATGGAAGCAATTGGATTACCTGGACCTCGAGGAGCACCTGGACCAGCGGGTCCTCCAGGTGAAGCTGGGGAGCCTGGTGCAGAGGCAGAAACTCCTCCTCCTGGACCACGTGGACCTCCTGGTCCTCCTGGTAAGGTTGGGCCCCCTGGTACAGACGGTGCTCCAGGAGAACCTGGTGCCAGAGGTGGCCCAGGTGTGGATGCTGCCTATTGTCCATGTCCAGCGAGAAGCCCCATATATCGTAAGAGGAGCGCAGGGCAGAGAAACTTTGTCGCATCAAATAGAAGAAGGTCATTAAGGCCATCAAGGCTATCAAGGCGATCAGGGAGACGTGCAAGACACAACGGTTCTGCTGTGGGACGTCGAATGCATCGAAGGATGTCCAGTCCAAGAAGGGTCTTAATAGTACGAGGAGTAAAGAGGCACTAGTTGCTACGATACTGTAACTTCAGAATGTTATCGATCAGAAATAAAATGTTGTGTTTAAAATAAAGTTTTCAACAGCTTACACGCTTACACAACACTTCTAGTTATTTTCATTTGCTTCAGTCCAGTCCCTCGAAGAAAACTTGAAAATTCTACTGAAAAAAAATCGGAAAGGGGACTTATAGGATTCGGTAGGTCACATATGGTTAGAAGGGGCCACAAAAATGCCAGGCATAGTCCGGCGATGGGATGGAGGGGGCATTTTGCACATTTGCACATCCCTCGACGTGTCGAGCCATCTAGAGAGCTAGTAAGCTTACAAGAGTTGACAGGTTTTACCATGGTGGCTCGACGAGCTTGCTCCAGCTTCACAGCAGTTCACAGGTTCCATCGGAGCAAGATGTATGAACCGGAACTAGTGGAGTTCGAAATGAGAGAAGTTCAGATTGCCCCCCCCCCCTCCCCCTCGCCAAACTGCCCGAAATGTCATGCCGCTTCTGTCCTTCATGTCAGGCTACGTGTATACAGTCGTGATCCCTTTGAGCGATAGCACGTGAAAAGGGCTGACTTTACCGTAGCCAGGAAAGTTTTACCCGCCCAATTGTTGCGTCTCAGCGACGGGCATGATCATTGGTGGGAAAACACCAACTCGGCTGCGCTTAAGTCAGACCTCTTCTTACGCCCTATTGTTTGTAAAGCTCGAACAGTACAGGAGAGGCATGAACTTCTAGGCAGATTCAATCCACTCGGTGGTTTCGATCTGGTGTAAATTGGCAAGATTGGCAAGCTACGCTTTTATGTGCAATCTTTTCTCACAGTCGATGCGGGGCGTGTCAGGCTGGTTTAGACACGCAACCTTATTGTGAAGGTGGATTAGGCCTTAGATAAACTGGTGCGAAGAAGTGGATAACAATCGATATCGGTCTCCCCTTACAGAAGTCATCTAACTCCTTCCTCATCGTGCGCAGAGAGCAGGGCTGTAGCTATGCGCCATATCCCGAATATGAGTGGGCGTGGCAGCGTATTCATTCCAACGTGGTGTCGACTGTACTTCTCGTGGTACCTGCCCCCATTTAGGACAGTTGGCAATCAGTACTTGCCCAGCAGACGACGGGTGGTCTAAAAAACGGAAGTCCTACAAAAGCGCATTCTGCTCCACGTTTACATTAAAGGCATTTGGCACGATGGTTTCCTACTCGGCCTAAAATGCTAATTAGGGCGCTATAAGTGGGGAAAAGGCGAAGAACGATGAAACGGTCAAAATTCTGCGAAGAAAAAGCCTCCGTTCTCTCGTGACTTGAAAATCCGACGAATTTCGGACGAGTTTCCCGTAGGCACTCTTCCATTCCGCTACCGAAGGTGCGCTGCATATGTGTACATATATGCATGCAGCATCACGCCGCTTCATACCAATCCCTTCGCTTCATAATTTGCTTAGCAAATGAATGAATACGAGCGTCAGGAACGGTCGTCCATTTGTGGGCGGGCGGGCGTGGCGGGCGTTTGGGACGTAAAGTTGTGGCTTGATAGGGCCCTTATAAGGGCACCTTCCTCGGGGAAACCGCTATGCAGCGCCTGCCCAGGGTCGCGGAATTCTATCCTGCCAGGAGTATTGATCCTAGTCGTCTTGGGGGATTTATCGTGCCAACTGCCTTTAAGTTCTCAGCCACGTTCATTCGATCTCCGGGATGTGGAGGGCATGGCGCCCAAGTTTGTAGTAAACTATAGTCACCATGATTTCAGAATTATGTGGGAGGGGCGCTAAAGATTGGGGAACACTTGAACATTCAAAAAATTGTAGAAAAGCCTTTTGTTGTTTTGAAGGGGCTCTATAAAAGTAACTGAAAGATTAATAAGGGGTAATTGTCAAGTGTTCGATGTCGAGCAATACCTTTTGGAATCAACCTGTAATGAGGGTCTAATTTAGGGTATTGGAGCTTAGCCGATTCAAAGGCTTGCATTGGTCAGGCTTCGTTTGGACACAGGACCGAACTCTGGCACTAGGTTATCGACCCCGCGTCCAAACACCTTCAAGTATCTCCGCACTGACAATATGGATCCTTACACTAACTCTAAGACAATTCTACTGAGAGGAGTAAACGCTGGTGTGTAAATGTAAATGTCAAGAATGTTCGAGATCAGCATTTATATTAGGTTGTCCGGAAAGTTCTCAGCGTTTTGGGTGTTTCACTTTAAACGATCGTAACTTTTTTAATACTCATCGGATTTAATCGAAATAGGCACCATTCGAATCAGCACACTTTTGCCAATGTGACAGCAGTCGAGAAATCCCATCAAAGTAAAAA